TAAATACGCACCGATAGTTCAGCTACTAGGATTTCGAAAGCTCGAAGCAGATGGCCCTTTTGACCAAAGTCCTCTATACCATCGCCTCGACTCTCTGCGATACTGCTACGATGTCTCCGGCACCTCTCCTCTAGCTGCTCATTCAGGTACACGCTCACCCGCCGCTCTAATAGGCCAAAAAGATTTGTCAAAGAAACCCTGCAGCGATGAAAATGCGCTGGCTGGGTACCTGGCGTCATAAGCCTCGGCCGGCATATGCCCCACTATGATCTCGAAGCTTCAAGCTTGGGAAGCCGGGCGGGTACCCCTCCAGCTAGCATAACTAATCGGCGTCCGACACAACAAGTCACTTTCTTTCTTTCTGCTCATTTCCCTTACACGCATCTACAACTTACACGACATTTTCTACCACTATATCAAATAATCATCATGGCTCCTCTACAAGTTGGCGACAAGCTCCCCGAGGGCGTCAAGTTCGAGTAAGTACCTTTGCATCGAGCTCCGCTCACAACCGGATCTTTAGAATGCACGCTGACATTGTTTCTTCTTTCGTGTAGATGGGCACCCATCACCGACAGCGACCCCACCGCCTGCGGCCGTCCCCAAGAATACGATGCCAGCAAGGAGTGGGCAGACAAGAAGGTCGTCCTCTTCTCCGTTCCCGGTGCCTTTACTCCCGGATGCCAAGCATACCATCTTCCTCCCTACATCGCAAAGGCCAAGGAGTTCAAGGACAAGGGTGTTGACGTGATTGCTACCATTGCGAGCAACGACGCCTGGGTTATGAACGCTTGGGGCAAGGTCAATGGTGTCAAGGGCGACGAGGTCCTTTTCCTCAGCGACACCAAGACCTTCTTCTCCAAGCAATACGGCTGGCCTGCGGGCATGGGCGACCGCAACGGTCGCTGGGCTATGGTCTTCGACCACGGCAAGGTCATCTACGCTGAGAACGAGAAGAGCCCTGGTGAGGTCTCGGTAAGTTGCGCATCGCTCTGAAAGTTTGAGGTGCTCGTCGCTAATTCTACAGGTCTCTGGTGCCGACGCTGTCCTGGCCAAGTTGTAAGCGCTGATCAACTGTGAGCTTGATCTCTAGAGACTTTGGCGAACAACACTGCGGCTGGCTGGCAATATGTAGATGAAATATCCAAATGAGAACAATGACAGTATGAGAGTCGCCATGAACGTGACGTTTTCCTTCCACGTCAGTCGTCTACGTAGTATCTGCATTTATGTTCGGGCGATCGGCGGTGTACGTCAAGTATGGGATGGATTCGATGTTTGTATTTGTATTGAATGCTGGTCGAATGCTCAGCTTGCATAGCAACTTTTCCACATAGCGCTCGTTCGTGGGCAAAGATTCCGGGCCTGGTATTTGTTCGTTCTAGCTTCGTCTGCCCAGGTATTCGTAATGAGCCAATATATACAAACGCCGGCATCGTAACACGCTCAATCAAACTAAGCCTCGTCAGTATCCGTGCACGGATGTATGTGTGGGGTATGCATACCGGAGTAAGGAAAGACTCAGCCACGAAACGTGCTCTTGCGTTCAACTGGTAATGTGTCAGCTCTAATGCTCGGACAGGCGAACCTCGGCTGTCTTACGAAGAGCTTCATTTCTGAAATCTCCTTGTCCACCTCCTCCATAAACTGGATGATGAAGTCGACCAGCTTGTGCTTGAGCATCTCCTCGGTGTGGAAGTTGGTAATCAGGAACGAGATGTCGTAGCCCTTGACCGGCTTCCTCCGCATAATGTAGAAGGACTCGGCTCTTTGCGTCAAGAACCGTGTGAACTTGTGGACCAGAATGTGTTCAATCTCATCTGCCTGCTTGATCTTGATGCTTATGCGCACACTGTTGATGCTGGGCTCGATGTATACGCGTTCATGCTCGTTTCTCGATACGGTAAGCGGGTTTAGGATGACTTCGGGCGAGCTGGCGGCTTCGATCTCGGGAACATTGTGGCGCTCAGAGGCCTGGGAAGCAAAGTTGGAGAGGGAGAGGGCGGCTGTGAGCGACGAGCGCACGCACTGGAGGTACGGGCGGAGTGATTGCGACTGAGGGCGTCAGTATGAGCACGTGATTAGACCACGGCAGTAAGAGGTGACTGTACCATTGCGAATAGAGCTCAGCAGCAGCTCTATGTTGGAATGGTAGGGCTGCCGTCGGGGGAGAGCGGGCTATGACATGCCAGTACGGCGAGTTGGCGGTGCCTGCAGCTGGTCGCGCTAGTGGGGTAGCAGCTCCGGGCGGCGGTCAGCTTGGCGCGGCCCTCCTTCCTCATGCTTCCATTAACTTTTGCCCCACGAAGACACTATAACCACTCTCTCGCCTCCGCCTCCCGTAGTCTTCTATACTCTATCCGCCGCATAGTTGAACATTCATCATGGCGACTATACCAGGTACGTGCAGCGTCCCACGGTTATTCGAAGCGTTCCAAGACTAATTTACATGTTTGCAGTAATCGTAAAGCATCAGGGCAAGAAGCACGAGGTCGAAGTGGATACCACCTCCACTGGCGAGACGTTCAAGTACCAACTCTTCTCCATCACCGGTGTCGAGCCAGAGCGCCAAAAGGTCATCGTCAAGGGCGGACAGCTCAAGGATGACGCCGACATGTCCAAGCTGGGCCTCAAGCCGAACCAGACACTCATGATGATGGGCACGCCCTCGGGGTCGGCAAACGTCATCGAGAAGCCCAAGGTCCCGGTCAAGTTCCTCGAGGACATGGACGAGGCGGAAGCCGCGCAGTTGGAGGGCGCCACACCCGCAGGTCTTCAGAACCTGGGCAACACCTGCTACATGAACTCCACCCTGCAGACGCTACGTTCCATCCCGGAACTGCAAGAAGAGCTCTTGCGGTACGCAGACAGGTAAGTCTGATTACATCACATCCACGTGCTCCTACTGACCCTCTCCAGCAACGGTGCCAGCTCATCCAGTGCCTCGCAGCTGAGCCAGTTCGGCCTCGGTGGCCTCGGTGGCTCAGCCGACCTAACGGGCTCCCTCCGCGACCTCTTCAAGCAGATGTCCGAGACACAAAATGGCTTCCCTCCACTCATGTTCCTCAACGCTCTCCGAACCGCATTTCCCCAGTTCGCCCAAAAATCAAAGGACGGCCACGGCTACGCACAGCAGGATGCCGAGGAGGCTTGGTCACAAATCGTCTCGCTGCTCCGACAAAAGCTAAAGATCACCGACAACGAGACAGGGTCAGATGCGAACAAGAAGAGGGAGCTATCCTGGATCGACAAGTACATGGCGGGCAAGTTCGAGTCGGTCATGGAGTGCGATGAGCCCGCAGCGAAGGAGGGTGGCGAGGAGCCCGTTCACAGCGAAGACCTCTTCTTCAAGCTCAACTGCCACATCAACGTAGAGACGAACCACCTCAGGGACGGTCTGGCTGCTGGCTTGAAGGAGCAGATCGAGAAGCGATCAGAGGTTCTGGGCCGAAACGCCATCTACACCAAGACGTCCAAGATCGCGCGCCTACCGAAACACCTCCCCATCCATTTCGTGCGTTTCGACTGGCGAAAGGATACCAATAAGAAGGCAAAGATCATGCGCAAGGTCACTTTCCCCGAAGAGCTGGACGCATTGGAGTTCTGCACAGACGACCTGAGGAAGATGCTCGTCCCAATCCGGGACAAGATCCGTGAAGTCCGCAAAGAAGAGGAGGATGTCGAGCGCGCCCGCAAGCGACAGAAGCGCATGCGAGCTGGCGAGGAGAACGACAGCGACCCTCTTGCTCGCAAGGAGCCTCTACAGAAGAAGAAGGAAGCTGCACAAAAGAAGGAGGACGCCAGCAAGCCTGCTGAGGACACCAAGATGGAGGAGGTTGAGTACAAGACCGACGCCCAGGTCGAGGCGGAACGCGCCGCATCAATCCTTGCTGCCAAGAAGGAGCTCCTCGCTCTTGTGGACTCCAAGATGACTGCAGATGAAGGCGCAAACCAGACCGGTCTCTACGAGCTGAGAGGTGTCATTACGCATCAAGGCGCCAGCGCCGACAGTGGCCACTACACGTCCTTCGTCAAGAAGCAGGGACCCAAGGACCCCAACACTGGCAAGCGGAAGGAGGAAGACGGTAAATGGTGGTGGTTCAACGACGAGAAAGTATCCGAGGTGGATGCTGAGAGGATACAAACCCTGTCTGGCGGAGGTAAGCATCCCAAACTTTAATTGTGTGAAGTGACGATGACTGACATGTTCCAGGCCAAAGCCACTCCGCTCTTATCCTCCTCTACCGCGCCGTTCCTCTACCCGTCATCGACGAGGACGTGCAGATGGGCGACTCATAGACTGAATCGACACGCTTCACTATGACCATCTCCTTGGGTCTCGCGCGCAAGAGCATGTTGAAGCGCAAACGGGAACGGAGCAGCAGGTAATGCATGGCATTCGGCGTTGTACTAGCTGGAAAGGCTATGGGACGATACCTCTGAGAGCTTAAGTAACGATTGCATGACTTCAAGACCTTGCATTAATAGACACGGCATTAGACTGGTGAAGTGCACTTTTCGTCCCTCTCCGTCCTCACCTCACCACGTGTAGAAACGCGTCGAAGCGTGCTGCCAAGCCCTTCCATGATCGTGACGCTCACCTCCAGCATTGCTTTCCTCCCCATATTTTCTACTGCTGCGCTTCTGTCATAACCTATCGCGTTATTCGCGAGACGCCGCATTCTTCTTCCTGTATCATTACACTTGTACGATCATCTGTTTCATGTATTAAGTACCGGCAGCATGTTCTACAGCCACGAAGGTAAGCCCCAAACCAAGACTGCAGCTTAGGAAGATTTGACTAACACTCGTAGTGCTCACGTCGCGCAAATACGGTGTGGCAACCGTGTGGTATGTCAGAAGGCGTCCAGTCGCTCCTGCCCTGTACTGACTGAAGTGGCAGGCTCGTCGCGACCACACAAAAACGAATCGGCCGCAAACAGATTCTCGAAGTCGATGTACAGAAAGCATGTCAGACCATCGTCGATCCTGTAGCGCCTATGGCTCTACGGCTACAAGGCAATTTGATGTGCGCCGCGCTGCCATACCTTGTCCGAGCGACAGACTACTGACGCATGCAGGTACGGTGTATCGCGTGTGTACCTACAACAATGCGGATACATCCTTTCAGACGCAGAGAGTGCTCGAAACGCCCTGCTAGTGATGCTACGGACGGTGAAGCATACCGCACTCGATCCAGATGCCGGCAAAGCTAGGTAAGCATGCATCATTCCCACAACATGGTATCTCTACTCACAGAATACATCTAGGCCTGAACAGCTCATACTCGAAGATGACCCTTCCTTTCTACCCGAGCTTGCGCTTCCTCCCCCAGACTTCCTCGCAGAACTAGACCACAACTTCAACCTCGACATTGCGCGATCCGGTGACTCCCAGACGCTCACACCCTTCAGCTCCCAGCAAGCACGATCCTCGTCCCATGCCGATGGCATCGGCGGGCTCGTCTTGCCCACTTCATCTCCCGTGATGGCGGCCGAGTTCAGACTCGACGGCGACGATGGAGTGGGCAGTGTTGGCGGAGCAAGTGTCATGTTGGGCGCTGGCGACACGATCCAGCTTGAAGACCCAGACTTCATGATCGCAGACGATGGCGAGATCATTCAGTTGCCACCGCGGCGAAAAATGCCCAGTACGCCAGCTAGGACCGCGGGTGCGAAGATGTCCAGCGATGTCGGGGCCAGTGCGCGGGTTCGCAAGGAACATGAGGAAGGACAGCAGGCGGGCGATCAGGTGAGTTTTACCGCGCTCTCTCACGTCTTTTTGCACTGCGATATCAGTCCCCAGTCTTGCAGTCAGGTCTCGCTGCTCTCACTTGAGGCGCAGAGCATGGCAACGCACTATTTCACCGCTATCGCTCAAGCCCCATCAGGCGGCCTTTCATGTTGTCTTCTATAGACGACGTTTGCTGCCTGTATCTTCCCATATCTTTGTTTGTTTATTTGCCAGCCGTCCACTATCCTCTCAATATCTATCTTACTACCGGCGTCTTCCAGAATGACGACTGACATATATCAGTTCCCGGGCGATCAAGAAGATATCGGCTTTCCGTCATATGACGACGATCCTATCGAAGGCGGAGCACTTTCATCAGACGGTCCGCAACAGTCCAGTCAGCATTCAGAAATCATCGAGTCATCCGATTCGCTCGCCGCGCCCATGCGCCGTCGTCGGATTCCACGCACTCTTCCTATCGATGCAGCTATAGAGCTTCCCAACAAGGAGCTGGCTGGTTGGCAGAGGAACTACCGTCAGAACATGAAAGCAGCAGCTCGGCAGAAAATCCAGAAACGTGCTGCTGCTCAGGCCAAGAAGAATGCTGAGCACTATGTCTGGGGCGCTGGCATCGGTGGTATCGGTGAACGTGTCTTGGGCGGCCACGTTCCTCATCCGTTCGACATGTTCATTGGTGACAACTTCTTCGAGACGATCATGGGCTTCAGTCGCAACAAGGCTAGCGGAGCGAAACATGACCGCGACAGTGGTATCGATGATGCAACTCAGGAAGAATCTCGCCGTGTGCGTCAGAGAACCGGCGAGCCTGAGGTCGGCCGCTCGGCTGACAACGAAGACATTCCTATGTTTGGTGAAGATGACATCGCCGTCGAACTACCGCGCGAGGGTGTCTCCGCACTTGACGATCAACAGATCTTCTCAGCGATGCCATGGAACATCAGCGCTTCTATCAGAGGCTCTTCAGTCGTTCCCCGAAGCGGACGCGCTGGTATGATTGGCTCCGCTGATCAGAGCAGACCTGGAAGCCGCTTCGTCTCTGCTTCTCCCTCAAAAGGTCGCGGACAGCCCATTGCTCTTGAGGGATTGAAGGACCTTACGAGTGACGCCGACTACGGTGGTGACGACTTTGAGCTACCAGGTTTCAGCTCCGACTTTCCCGAGCCAGCAGTTCAAGAACCATCAGCACGCGTCCGCGAGGCCCTGTCCACAGAAGGCGAAAACTTCATCACTTTCATCCACGAACGTATAGTTGAGAAGCGCAAGCGGGCTCAAGCAGACCTAGAGCACGAGCCTGACGTGCTGCAAGCCGAAGCCGCCGCTGACATCGAGGACATCGCCTTTGAAGAGCTTCTTCCACCTGCGGAGAACACCAAGATGATCGCTTGCCAGGGCTTCATGATGGTGCTCGGGCTAGGCTCCAAGGGAATGCTCCACATTCAGCAGCCGCAGCACTTGGGCGAGATCAACATCAAACTCTCCAGAAAGGCCAAGGACATGCAGGTCATTGAGCTCAGCGACGCTGAAGAATCCGACAAGGATAGTGCTCAAGAGGATGACGATCTTACTGAGAACGTTGAGGTGGTGGATGCTCAAGACATTGCAGAACAGCAGGAAGCGGGAGACCAGGATATGCAAGAGCACGACGCGATGGATGAACAAGAGGGTCACTTCCAGGAGCAGTTCGCCGCTGGCCATGCTGCTCAAGAGGATGACCATGACTCACTCTATGATGACTGAGTGACCCAGCACTACATCGAGTCAGATGGATGAACATATAAAAGACTGCTGCGTAGCATAGATTTCTCATGTATCTTCCCGCCTGGTGGCGTTTCCTGTCCATATTACAGGTGCCCATAAGGCGATGGGTATCGGCATCTGATGCGGAAAAGGAGAACGGGCAGACAGTAAAGCCACATCAATGACAATATATCCGACTGCATTGAAACGTTGAGTCATGAACGTGGATGCAGGAAGATGATGCGCATGTTGTGAAGTGCTCGTTCAATGACCAGTGCGTTGGGCAACGTGTGATGATTGGTTGTTTGCAACAGCAATTTCTCGCTGATGCATGTAGGCATGATGTAGCCTGCTAACTTGTCTGCTTGCAGTCATGCAGAACCTTCTAGACTAGGATTGTCTATGACCAAGTGCTGCAGCCAAGCCGCTAGATTGTTTGCATATAAATTCAGCGTTTTTTAGACTCTGCACTTATCTTCCTAAAAAAACCACAGGTCTTTTGAGTAGTTAAGGTGATAGTGAAATTGCAGCTAGTCCAGATCTAGCTAGTGTTCAAAGAGCTTAGTGCAAGCTGACATAAGCTTGATCTAAAACTAGTCAATGCAGCATAGTATACCTACTTCCTGATTCGACATCGCTCACCCCAGCATGCCTGGGGTCCGCACGGGCATGGAAGTCAGCAACACCCATCGCGGCGCTGCCAAACAACCAGACAACGACTGCATTGCAGTTCAGTCTGCTGTCAAAGACGAGGACGGCAATGACGACATCTTCGCAGAAAGCGACAGCGACGATGGGTACGACTACAAACCGCGACCAAAGCTGCCGCAGCCCAATGTCCACATGCGAAGCTTAGGAAGCCTGATAAGTGAGTGAAGACTGGCCGAAAATGATGAGGAAATCTTCCACTGACAGCAGCCAGAGGAACTGGAGAGCGGTGCGATCGATGTCGACCCGGAATATCAACGTGAGGTTGTCTGGACAGGTAAAAATACCCGGCTCGATTGTCATAGACATGCTGACAGCAACAGCCGATCGTATGACGGGTCTGATTAATTCTCTGATGGGTATGATCTCGTTCAGGCTCTCTTATCATTAATGACATCTCAGATTACTGATGCTCGCATAGAAAGTTACTACATCCCACCCATTATTCTGAATAAGAAGCGGATTGATGGAACAGATGGTAAACCACGTGACGTTCTTGTCTGCGTGGACGGAAAGCAACGACTTTCTTCTGTCAGGGCATTCGTCAAAGGTATGATTCCTTGCCACGATCACAAGGGCGAAAAGTGGTAAGCAATCTAGATTCGATTAACATCTCTCAATGACTCACTGACAGTTCCAGGTAGTTCTGTGACACACCTAGCAACAAACGCAAAAAGGTGCTTCCCTCGGACACTCAAAAGTCGTTCTTGGAGAAAGACTTTGTGGCCTTTCAGTTCGCAGAGCTTACGCCAGTACAAGAAGAAGACCTTTTCGCTAGGGTCCAAATGGGTGTGCAGCTCACTGTAGCTGAAAAGATGCGCGCGAAACAAGGCCCATGGCAAGAACTAGCGAAGCTTTTCGTGGAAGACTTCCCTATGATCTACAACTTGATGAAGGACCGAGCTCGAGCGAAAGACTTCCAACTCACTCTGTCTTGCTTCAGCCAAATTCTGGAAGTACAGCATCCGACTCCTGCGACTGGCATTCCAATGCTGAGGACAAGCCACAGTTTGATCCCGAAAATGCTGAACAATACCGGTGCTGTAGATGATGCGCTCAAGTCACATCTTGCAAGCATCTGGACCACTTTCAAAGACCTTATTGCTCTAGATCCCGACACTTTCACGAATGCCGACAGACATTTGAGTGGTGTACAAACCTTTGCGCCCGTTGAAATGGTGGCCGTCACCGTCCTTATCTCAATGTATTCGGAAACGCGCAACAACGAACTATTGCTAGGCGATATCAGAGCACTTCGAGAAGCCTTTCGCGAGCACTTCAAGGACCTTCGACTGTCTGCGCCAATCTGGAAGTTTGCCTGGGACTTTATAGAAAACCTGGAGGGAATTCGAGGTGCGGTGGATGGTACCACGATAGACCGAAACCAATTGGCAAAGGCCCCAAAGCCGACGCCATCTACTTCAAGGACGAAAACACTATCCTCTCCGACTTCCACGGTTTCGAGGAAAAGGGTAGCACCTCTGGACAAGCCGCTCTCCATACTGCCATCACGCGATTCGATTATCGCAAGGGAGGAGACAAAACCGAATTTCACAGCACCGAAGCGACAGCGGACTGATCCGGGGCCATTAAGCGCTCAAGCAGAAGTCAATAGTCCTGTATATGGCATCGACGGTTCATCGCAATTTGCCACTGCAAGGAATGCTCCTTCGGAGCGAGTGCGCACAGCTGCGGTACCGACAAGATCTCCCATAATGGGTAGCATTTTCACAGATTTTGGTTCTCAACAACCATCACCTGTCAGCGCAACTTCTGCTTCGCCACGTCTATGGCGTCCAGGCGAAGCGTTACAGTTAAATACAGCCTTGACCAACTCGCCACAGACTGAGCCAACACGCCCAACGTCAGGACCACCGCACCAAATTTTCCAGAGACCAGGAAATGGACATGGAAATCAAGTTGTACCGGGGTTTGCGTCGGCAGCGAGAGGTGCCAACGAACAAACCATACCGCCGGGACGGTCTCGAATCCCTGACCCTAGACCTCAACCCCCTCAAGCCGACTACTATATTCCAGATTTGTCGAACGCACCTATGCAAGCATATCACCAGTCTCGCTTACCATTGACGCAACTCCACGCTACCCATACACCTTTCACACCGGAACATACACCTCCACACATCCAGCAAGCCCGTGTTCCTGAACCTAGAAACCACCCTGCACCAGTAGCGCAGATGCAGCCATCTAGGACCTCTCATACCGCTTCACGGCAACCTCCTCAAACAAACCAAAGTTTGCAGAACGGCACACCAATGTCATCCCGACCCTTAAGCATGACCCAAGCTCATCCGACGAGTAGAGGAGCATTCGCACCCGCCCACACGGATGCGCAGTGGGAAGGAGTTATCGCCACTGCATCCCCACGGATGCAGTCTCGGCAGCTTGGTCAAACTCAACAAGGGGCTTCTTCCGCAGCTTCGTCACCAACAATCCCGACGTCGGCTTCAACTATCGCAGCGTCACAACCAAGCGGCACGAAGCGGAAAAGCGTTACCCGCCCAACACCTGCTCAGTACGATGGAGTCATTGATCTAACGAGCGACGATGAGCTTGAGGAAGAACGCCAGAACCTTTTGTCTTCATTCAAGGCCAAAACGGCTCCAGCAAAGCAACCTCCAGCTACAGCTACAACCACACCCGCATCAACGCAACGAAAGCCTATAGTCATACATGACCTCGATCTTGATGAGGATTATGCGCGTGCGAATAATCCATATGAAAGGTTTAGAAATAATCCTAGAGCAGGGCTCTCCGGTCCGAGACGTTGAATTTAATGTTACAGTTCTAAGAGCGTGGGACTCGCATCAGCGAAGCGCGAAAGTACTTTCAGCTATTCTCAGCTATATCTTGTAATTAAGCATAATGATACCCCATTTGAGAACAGTGTGTCGTCCGGCTTTGGTTCCCTCATGCATTGGGATGTATGCAAGTAAGCCGTAAGCGCGAATTGGCAACGCCACTTCGAAGGTACGACTTCCTCACACCCACAGATTCTGCATCGTATGTAGCATCAACCTCTAACATAACAAAATGCACATCGCGTCCAGACTTCATTACGGGTTCCGAAGCGTTTACAGGAGACGCGTTCACATGCAATGGAAGACGTCATAGCGCGTTTCCAACCTCGGCATCCGACCACGAAACCCCGTGGACGGACCGCACCGCAAGCTAACGATGGCTTGACGGCCAACAGGATGTCCGCGGGATTGAGACATCCCTTCTTGCGTCAATAACCGCGACGAGAGACATACTCCGCCCCGACGTTGACGAATACCTGCTGTATCTTGCGCCATATCGCGAACAGTCTCCACTCCCTCTCACCGCGCGCACGCAGCTTTGCGACATCCATAATCCGCGACCACAAAAGACCAGCAACATGGGAAAGTCATTCGACCCTGCCAAGGACATCGGCAGTCTGGATGGGAAGGTCATTCTAGTCACCGGTGGTGAGTGTTTCTCAGTTTGAGCGCGAGCGACCGTATCATGCGACTGACACATACACAGGCAACGCCGGCTTAGGCAAACAGACCATCGCATACCTCGCTGCCCACAACCCCACGCGCATCTACCTCGCCGCTCGTACCGAATCCAAAGCCCGCGATGCCATCACCGACATCAAGAACAGCGTGCCAAATGCCTGCGAAATCGTATTCCTACCGCTCGACCTGACGTCTTTCTCGTCTATTGCCGACGCAGCATCGACGTTTAAGAGCCAGGAGTCGCGACTCGATATCTTGATCAACAATGCTGGTATCATGGCGCCGCCATACAGCACCACCAAGGAAGGATACGAGATACAATTCGGCACGAACCACATGGGCCACGCGCTGCTCACGAAGCTCCTTATCCCGACGATGCTAGAGACGGCGAAACAACCCGGCGCAGATGTCAGAATTGTGAATCTGAGCAGTATGGGCCACCAGATGCCCGTGTCGAAGGGCATTGAGTTCGACCAGCAAGCGCTCGAGAAGGAGAGTACCTGGCGTCGCTACGGCTCCTCGAAGTTGGCGAATATACTCTTTGCTCGCTCTCTGGCGCTGGAGTACCCTACCATAACATCCGTCTCCCTGCACCCCGGTGTCATCCTGACGGATCTCTTTACCAACCTCCGCACGAACATATTCATGAAGGTTGGCCTGTACATCTATGGCATCATTGGTATGATACTGCCGGGTCACTACCAAAGCCCGGAAGGAGGCGCGCTGAACACGACATGGTGTGCTACGGTCGCAAAGGACGAGCTTGAGAGCGGAGCGTACTACATGCCAGTAGGCAAGAAGAGTGCTGGCAGTTCGTTCGCGAGGGACGAGGGGCTGAGGAAGAAGTTGTGGGAGTACACCGAAGCGGAGCTGCAAAAGCATGGGTATTGAGATTGGAACAACTTTGTACTAATAAAAGCGTAAGAGGAACATATTTGAAGCCCTGCTCATTGCGATCATGGTCTACATGACATATACGACATCTACCACTAAACGTCCACACCGACAAGCGCCAGCTCAAACAGTCTCCAACGGCACCCTAGGCAATGCCGTCAACTGCTTCCTGTCACTAATCTCCACTCTGAAGTCCTTTTGTACACTGACCTGCAAGCCATCACCACTCGGCCGCTGTCCACCACGCTTCTGGTCGCCATCAACATGTTCCAGACTCGTGTTACTGTACTCATCCAAATCGCCATAGATCTTCGTTTCGACACCCACGCTCTTGGGCTTGCTACCCGAATGCGAGTGGCCCTCTGGTCGCTCGTTCAGCTCCATCCATTGCTTCGACCCTGGACCGGCGCGGATGGAACCCCGCGGGTTTTGCTTCTTCGAGTAGCCGCCGGAAGGGTTTGAGTGGCTTCCTGACCAGGACGAGAAATGCGAGATGAAGTTTGTGAGTAAGGGGCGGCAGGCGGGTAGGTTAGCGACGAACATGCCGACGTTCATTTCTGCGCAGGCCCAGGCGAGGATTTCGCCGAGGTTCTGGAGGAGGCGGGTTGGGTCGTTTAGGCCGATGAGGAATTTGAGGCGGACGATGGGGGCGATAGATGCGCTGTTGTATGCGTTAGTGGTGATGCTTGGGGGTTGGTACAGAACTGTGGGTTGGCTTACAAGATTCCTAGGCCTAGCATGGACATTACGGAGATCTTAACGCGCCAATCGAGTTGGACATCCCAGAGGAGGAAGATCGGGAGCGTCGCAAAGATCCAGTCTGTTGAGATGGACACTACTGCTACGGCGTACGACAATACTGTCTGAATGTTGCGTCCATTGCATTCACCTTCCATCGTGGGGTACCAGTTCTTCCTGTTTCCGGAGTTAATTATGGGTAATCTGGAAAGAGAAGAGTATGAGAACGTACTGTACTGGCCTACATTGGAAGAAGAGATACATTCCCGTACCGCCCATCACGACGAAACAGGATATCATGCAGGCGTAGATGACCATCTCGATCCATTTCTTGCGGTTCGCGATACGGATCAAGGCGAAGCCGATGCTGCACTTGATCGCGACGAGAGTGAAGCACCATGGCTCCTGGAAGACGTAGAACCACTGCTTCTTGTCAGTATACCCTTACGAACGACTGGAGATCGATGATCACATACCTTCAAGGACATGGAGTATTGAGCCGCTGTCAACGAGCCGTCATACTGTCCAACGCCACTCCAAGCCATACCGAGTGTGGAAACTGTGGCCACCGTCCAGACCGGCTGGGTTCATGTCAGTAAGAGTCCAATTGTGGATGTGTACAGAACTTACCAAGTTGATGAGCATAGCCCAGTCATCTGGTCCCCATGCCTTCCTCTTGGTACGAATCCAAAACCGCAAGACGGTCGAAATGATAACAAACGGCAAAGGGACCAAGACCGATAGGGCCATATGGTAAGAAGTCGGTGGCGCCATGGCGTCAATCAGACTTTCGACAAGTCTACTCTGTATACACGCGAGCACAGTAGTCAAATCGCACGAAGAAGACGAAAAGTAACAATAGAGTTCACAGATCCACACAGCGCAAGCACCGGGCATGCAAGAAAATAAGAATACGCAACGAAAGGCTGGTAAAAAGGAGCGCCACGATCCCAACAGTATGGCACTCGTCCACGAGCTTTCTTTCCCATCCCAGCTCGATCCGTAGGCCACAAAAATGCTCGGCGCCAACCATGTAGGGTTCGCCCGGATGAAGCCGTACGAGTTTAGGATTAACAACGGTAACGGGGAGGCGAAGCGGCACAGGCTTCCTAGTGCCGGCACTGTTACCCGTCTGCAGTAGTTCCCGGTTCGTTATATGTCCGATGCTCTTGGGAGCTGTTGATGCGCGGGACGACGACCCTGCGGAAGGATCGCATGCTCTGGCAAAGCTAATGTCCGCTTCAGAAGGTCTGCTCGCTCAGACGCTGTTGGCATGAGCCTACCTAGGTGGCTACAGCGTTCATCATTGCGTCCTTCGGTATAGTTGCAAAGATGGCAGACAGTCTTACGTATCACCTTCACATGCGCCGATGTATCTCCAAGCTTGAGTCCAGACTCTCGGTCTTGTGCAAAGCGGCGGAGTAGTATAACCTGCAACGTCTGCGCGCGAATCCTGTTTCAAGACCTTCTTCTGCACAAGGATTGGTACATCGCCGCGTACTGTGCGTGCGGAGTCGCAGTGGAGCATTGCATGAGGTCCGATTGAATCCACACGTCCGGATCTCGACCAGAGATGAGATGGTCCCAAAGTACCTAGATATCAACCCAGAAGTTGGAAATCTGGTATAAAGAGAGAAAGGGGGATATCAACTATATGTGTGCCAGTTATGACTATCCTCATAACGTGGCGTGAGGAATACGGTCTGTCAATGCTCGGTGTATGCGTCGGCACAAGATGGAGCTACTTCGGAGGATTTATATCGAGACCCACATCACGAAATAACCGTCTCCACCGCTAGACATTCCTCGACGGATCCTGGGTGTTTTACATAGTCAAGGGTTCCCCGCGATGTCGCTGTCGTGCAAGCGGTGGGCGTTGTCACGACTACTTCCATAGATACATGTACAGGTCTCTTACCCAGTTTTCAACATACCTCAGCACGTAGCAATTTCCAAAATGTCAGCACCCAGAGTCTTTGAAGGCAAACTTGCCATTATTACCGGTTCTTCGCGAAGTATGTTCTGCCAGGAGCTCATAGTCCTCGATCATGGCGATGTAACGACGTACCACTTGATTAGTAACTGACGTGCAACCAGGCTTCGGCGCCACACTTGCCACATACTTCGCCTCGCGTGGAGCTAACGTTGTGATCAACTACGCAACATCAGCGTCCGATAAGATCGCGACTGACTTAGCAAACCATCTCTCCACGACCTACAAGATCAACGCGCTCCCCGTACGCGCCGATCTTCTTGACCCTTCCGCCCCGCAAACCATTGTCAATGCGGCAAAGGCGCACTTCAGCAACCCAGCGGCCACCCCTTCGTTCCAGATCGACATCCTGATCAACAATGCCGCTGTCGTGAATGCGCAGCCTATCCAGGAGCTTGATCCAGAACTCTGGGACCAGACGTTCAACATCAACTGCAAAGCTCCTGCGCTGCTTATCAAAGCTGCGTTCCCCTACCTTCCTCACGACAGATCTGGTAGGATCGTCAACATCTCATCCGCGACTACGACGTGGGGTCTGATCCAGCAGACATCCTATGCCGGTACCAAGGGCGCCATCGAAGCCATGACGCGTGTGTGGGCGCGCGAACTCGCTGAACGCGCAACTGTTAACAGCGTGAGCCCTGGTCCCATGGACACCGGTCTCCTGAACGGACTGCCTGAGGCGCCCAGAGAGGCACTGAAGATGTACAACGCGTTGATCCCACTAGCGAAGGAAAGACCTGGTGTAGACAGCGAGGACATGTTGAGATTGGCAGGCGAGATTGGCGGTAGGCCCGGTACGCTCGAGGAGGTGGCAGGTATCGTTGGTATCGCGTGCTTGCCAGAGAGTGGCTGGATGACGGGTAATCAGCTGGGCGCGAGTGGAGGCGGCGCGTTTGTTAGGTAGAGCTTCGTTGTCATATCTGCATGGCTGCTGGCAGCGATAGAATTACACATGAGCCCTTGAAATCTTCGACTTTGAGTATGGTGATGGTTGTGTCTATGTCGAATTAGAGAAGCCGGAATCTGAGGACGACTTCGGGCAGGTATGTCACATGATGCCAAGACCCCATCGGCGCTTCGAGATCACCGCGAGCTCCTCTTCACGACGCGTCGACTTAGCCGATGATCTGCCGCACCTAAGTCTATGGCCCGCCCTTCATATTGGACTTGCTATAATGTCTTCGAAACACGCGTTTTGAGAGCGTGATACCTACCACAAGCGCTCGTCGCTTCCTACCGGGAATTGAAATTTGCCGCATCCCCTGCAGTTTGGTGCCGTGTCCTGCAATCCCAGATCTTGGCCTGCATTTCGCGTGCTTGCGGCGCAGCAAACTGGTTCTGCAGGATTCCCGTTGCTAACTCTTGTGCGATCGCGAAACACACAGTATGGGATTGGTCTGGAGTCTAGCATGACAAGCGCCTGAAGTGATTAGTTGGAAAAGCATTACGAACGATGGAAAGTCGTATTTGTATATTGCTCTCCCGCAACGCCAACCGACGGGACGTCCCCTGTACCCGAATACCCGCAGGCGCTATCATCCTCGAATAGTTCGCGAGTAAACGCCACCAAAGCATTGGGCTCGCTACTGAGAGTGGTCGTTTATTGCTCCTTGGCTCATCCTTTGTAGCAGCTAACGGCTAAAATACGGACTACCTGCATGGAAGTAGCCTCAATGGCGAAAGCTGCACTCGGAATGTTGAACTGCAGAGTGCGGCAACGGCACGCCGTGTATGTATAAGTATATACAATTAGAACATACCCACTGATACACGTTTCCGTTCCCCTCCCGTCAACATGAAGGTCTCAACTTTGGCAACGGCAATATTGTATGGCAGCGTCGGTGCCAGCGTTGTAGAGAACGATGCATTGGCTGTTGAAGCACTCGCGAAGCTTACGTCTAACGTGGCTCAAAATGGCTACCCAGACGCAGAAAAATGCACGTTGGATAATGTTGCCGTCCGACAAGAATGGCAAGTAGAAGGCGCATATGTTCCGCGGTAACTCGACTCATACGAATCTAGGTCTACTTTGTCCGAGGATCAGAAGCTTAACTATATCGACGCAGTCAAATGCTTAGGGAAGAAGCCAGCGAAAACTCCAGCGGCGATAGCCTCGGGCGCGAAGAGTAGATTCGATGACTTCGTTGTCACGCACATTCTGCAGACAATGAACATCCATGGAACGGTAAGGCTAGAGGATATCCCTAGCGGGTTTTGACTAATGTAGAACAGGGGAACTTTCTCAGCTGGCATCGCTACTATATCTGGGTTTACGAACAAGCTCTTCGCAACGAGTGTGGCTACAAAGGCTATCTTCCATACAACAACTGGTCCAAGTGGGCAGATGATCCGCTCTCATCACCTCTCTTCGACGGCAGCAGGACCAGTATCTCCGGTGACGGCGAATATGTTGCTGGACGAGGATCATGGTGCATTCCCAACGAAGCGCGTTGCATGGTTACTTTCCATTCGGCAAATGGCGGAGGCTGCATCAAGTCTGGACCGTTCAAAGAGTGCGTTGATCAAACGTGAACCAGCGACAGTTGGCTGACTGAAGCAGTTGGAAGATCAACCTAGGCCCTATCCAAACGACAGTCAAAGATGCCCCACCGAACCCGCAAGCCGATGGCCTTGGTTATAATCCTCGCTGCCTAAGTCGCGACATCAGCACGCAAGCATCGAACGAGACTCAAGATGAGATGGTCGTAGACCTGATCAAGAATCATCCTGACATTCTTAGCTTCCAGAACAAGATGCAGAACTTCACCCAAGGGGTTATGGGCGTTCACAATGGAGGACATCACACGATTGGTGGTGATTCTGGAATGGATATGTATGCTATACGCCGCCTCACCATCGCTAGCATAAGACATGTACTGACTAAACCGAAGGTTCAACTCGCCAGCAGACCCAGCCTTCTACTTCCACCACGGCATGATCGATCGCGTCTGGTGGACATGGCAGAATCTCGACTTGGAAAGTCGACAAAACAGCATCGCGGGTACCATGACCTTTCTGAACAACCCACCGAGCCGCAACGCCACTCTCGATGACGTGCTCAGCGTGGGGTATGTCGGTCCACCGAACATCACCATCAAAGATGCTATGAGCACAATTGCAGGGCCGTTTTGCTACGTGTATGCTTAGTTCAGATGATCAATAGTATTGAAGAGCAAGTTCATAGGCTTCAAAATGCTTGTATAGCACTTTGGATGCTACATCGCGCTGCAACCTGCCTGTCATTGATGCAAGAAAGTGATGCATTCCGCAGCATCGTCGCTCAGCCCACACAACTCGTTGAAGTTCCCAGATTCCTCTCCCTTCTGTTTTGTTCTCTCGGCAAAATCTGCCAGTGGACAACTCTTCCCAGGACCATTATCGCACCCCGGTATAGCGGTAATGCCGTCGTTGATGTTGAGTCTGACGAACTTCCCCGGTGATGATTCGCGTTTGGTCTTGCAGGACAGGAGTTCGAAAATAATACGGCCGCCCATCGGCGACACCTGAGACTTGCGCCATTTGCGGTCGTGGGCGATGTGAGTGATGGGAAGGTGTTCACGGTCATTGATAACATCTAGCGCAGTCATAAGCGGCGCTATGTCACCGTCATGAACACTTATCTTGAGTCAGTGTTGCTCGCCCCAATAGTTTGTAGCCTCCGAGGTTCGAAAGAAAGACTCACAAGCTGAAGAACAATGGGCCAGCGCTCGGGCCCTCAAGCAGCAGGTTTGTTGTAGCATTCAACCACAGCCACCCCATACTCGTGGCATACTTTTGACCTGGGCCTGCGCGATAATAATGCAAGATGTCTCGTGCATATTCAAAGCTGAGGAACTCGTCTCGAGTGAAGACGTCACACCAGTCGCTGCGACCGCGTACTGTCGTCTCGAAACCGCACATTTCCTGCATAGCGTAGATCTCGTGGTCGTCAAAGCTCATGCCTGTCTGGTTGAGTAATCTTTCGCGGATAGGCGGCATATATGTGGCCCGGTACTCGTGCATCAGACGATAGCCTTTCTGTTGACCTTCTGCTTTATCTTTCTTGTTGGCCAGACATGTTCGTCCGGGTGTTAGAGTATTTGCACCAATCGAAGAATGTTCGGATATGACACGAAGAGTAGCTGTATTGCTAGTGGTATAGTCGATGCCGAAGAAGCCTGCGGCGAAGTGCTTAGCTGTCTCGATGACGCGATTTGAGTCGCTGGCCCAGAATGTAGTAGGCTTGTTGGAAGGTTTGAAATCAGCTTGTTCCAGAAGATGCTGGTAACGTGTACGCAGACGAATGCCGGTGGTGAAAGAGGAAAGTATACCCGCGAAAGGCCCAGTAGTTGTCAATTGCTCCAGCTGGGTATCGTCTGAAGACCAGAAAAGCTCCCAATCATTGAAGAACGCCAGATTGCCCTCGAAAGTCTTGTTACTGTCTTTCATGCGCTGAACGACTGCTTTCTGCTTCCTACCCGCCTTCTTCGTAGGATAGCGCTCAGCATGCCTAGACATCATGTGAACCTGCACCACCTCGCATCCCTCCGGCGGAGCAACACCTCCGTCAACGACATCGATGATCTTTTCCACCCATGGCCCGTTTCCGCCGAGATGGTACAAGATATTCCAGACTTTTGTTACAGCTCCTGCACCGAGGCCGTGGTCCATCTCCGCGCCATCGCTTCGCTGAGGATGAAACCAAGTATCCCAGCTCGAACTGTAAGGCTTATCGGCGCAGCCATCGCCAAGATATTTGGATCGAGATGCTGCGATGTTTGATCGGCATGATGAAGGGCATGTGGTTAGGCCGAGCGCAGAGAGAAGCGAATTTGGGTATATGCTCTGCGCGATCGATACTACGGCCACAATGATTGCTGTCAAGGCAATCCATTGCGACCGCGAAGGCATCGTGGCCCTGGAGAAGAATGTTGACGTGTGTTATGCGAAAGAGCGAGGAGAATCAGAGAAAGTGCTCTTTGTTGTCGCTCGATGACAACACGGCTCGGGCGGTGAGACTCTCAAACGCTCGTTCCTGCCCAAGAGTGGGTCGCAGTTCTTGCCCCAAGACTCCATATCTTTTGAGTATATGCGTCGGCATACTTGCAGCTGCTCTTCGTAGAATGTTGGCGCGGCTGTGGTGTGCAACGCTTGGTACCTTCCAGTTGAGAAGAACGCGGGCGCATCACCTACGATGGATGACGCAGGGCGCGTGGTGGGCCTCGGCACGCCGATCGCTCTCCAAGTTCGCGCCTTCCGCGTCGCTCCCACCGCGTACACAAGCGACTGCACAGGTGCCCTGCAGTCTACGATAGTCGTAGAAACGACGTCAAACACAAGGCAAAACTGTGATAAAAGCTATATACCGATCTTCACATCCAGCTTCCTCGCGACTTCCCGCACCTTCTCCACATCCACACTCCTCGTCTGATCAGGAACCACCTTCCCCTCGAACGCGCCCCCAGCTTCCGCAACCAACGTCTCCAGCCCATCCCCACTAGCATACGACCAGAACCTCACATAGAGATCCACAAACTCCACCGCCACCTCCGTCCCCGCTGGTATAAATGCCGTCTCACCCGCCCGAACCACATGCCCTGCCTCGCCGTCCACCGTGAGCGAAAGCGCCCCATCGAGTACATAGTACACCTGATGTACCTTTTCAAACACAAAACCCTTACTCAACACCGTATTCTTCAATTCGCTGCCAGACTCAATACTCGTGATGGCAAAGTTACCCGTCGGCCCTTTGCTTTGTTGCATGGTGATGAACGGCCTGGATAGCACACCCTCGAGTAGGAAACACGGCCCTGTGTTCGCTTTGAGGAAATACGCTTCCTGGCCCTCTGGTAATACACACTCCCCCTCTTCCCAGTCCGCCACCTCCGCACCTTGAAACTGCGGTTGAAAAACTACATCGAAACGTTCTTTGATCTCGCGTATCTTAGGCCCAAAAACAGCACCCGTATTCCTATCGTCAAACTCATCACACAACACACCACCATAATCCTCCCCTACAAACCGGAAGAAATCAACCCAATCCCCCGGTGTCACAAGACCCATCGATTCATTAGGCCCTTGATCCAGTAATTGCGGCTGGTGCACCACACCCGGTGGTACGTAAGCAAAGTCTCCCGGGTAGAGTATGCGGCATTTCTCTCCAGCCCAGATCTTCAACCGCCCTTTTGTGCACATGAAGACGTCGTGGGCGTGGTTGTGGTAGTGGAAGCCTGGGGGGTCGGATAGGACGCCGTCTTGGCCGAAGACGCTCATGGCGTTGGCGGTTTCGGCGGCGGAGCAGAGGATGCGGAAGACGGCTTTTGTGCCGGGGATGGTTAGGTGTTCGCCTGTGTGGGAGGGGAGGAGGTAGGGGGTTGGTGCTCCGGCAGGGAGGGAGACGCAGGGGAGCTTGGTGCGGTGGGTTGCTGGTTTGAGGGGAGGAGATGGGGGTGGCATGATGGAGTCGTTGCGGGAGAGAATTGGGGCGGTTGTTGTCGCCATGGTGGATGGTGACGTTGAGAGGTTTGTGGTTGGACGAGAGCTGAGTATGAAACACAACAGTAGGCCCGTAGGCAGTATGTCAGAGGATATCCAGTAGAAGACGGTACGTCGACCTTTATAGAGCGAGCAGGTAAACATTTACCCACACGTAGATCCCTCGCCCTACAAAACCATCTCCATGCCCTATTCCAGCGTAGCTAAATCATCGTATGATCGACCATACATACCTCCTCTGCATCAACATCTGCCGAAACATTCTCAGATCCCGCAATACTTTCCAAGATCGCCTATCACAGCAAAGTGACAAACCTTCTTCTCCACAACAAGCGCTCCACGACCACCGAAAAAGTCAAAATGCCTCCATGCAGACAGAAGTGTACGTGGTTAGTAATCATCGCAATCGCAAGGCTGACCCCGCGGTAGCGCCTTGCGGCTCGGTATGTGGGGAAGATTTATTGCAGCTCGGCAATACAATAAGATCCGCCCATTCCAGGCGCGACGGTGTGCGATGTTTTATGTGGTCACGCCTGATTTTGCTTTCGGTCTTGAGTTAATCTGGTCCATGTACGTCGGTGAAACGATCATTTCGCGCTCCGATATCACCGACGACCGAATCTACGTGCGCACCCACAACATGTTTACTCCCATGTCGTTTCCTAGAGTTCGTGAAGCAGCGAAATGGATATCTACATTCATTCGGATATCAAAACTACAAAAAACAACGTGACGACACCTCAACGCCTCTCCCTTTTTACCCTACTACTACCTTCAATGCATCTACGCATCCTCACCTACTTCGGCCCACTCCACTTCCCACTAGGCCCATTCCCCCTCCCTCTAAACCCACCACCACCACCACCTCTCGCACCGCCCCTCCCACGTGGGCTCCTCATCTTTTCAACTCTGCCTTTGCCTCCCCTTCCCTCTCCACCGCTGACATTACCGCCCCTTGTGCGTTCCTGACCTAGACCACGCCGCTGGCTCTTTTGGCCGACGCCGCCGCCGCTCTTCACACCACCCCGACCCATTCCAGACCCGGATTTCGCTTTTCGCACTTCTTGCCAGTCTGCCTCGCCGCCGTCGTCGTCCATGTCCATTTCGTCGTCTTCGTGTGTGCGCTTGTTGCTGAACTTGAGACGGCCTTTCTGACCTTGCTGGGCGGTGTCGCGGCCGCGGATGGCGTCTACGTAGGCGTTGATGCCGGCTTCGAGGGATGTGTTCTGGTCGTCGATGTCCATGAGGACGTCTTCGTCGGGGACTTCGTGCTTCTTGGACTTCTTGCCCTTTGCTGGGGCTTCCTCGTCCGAGTCGCCGATGATGAGCTTGCCGTCCTCGTTTGTGCGGGCGTTCATCTTCTGTGGCTGTTTGCGTTGGCGCAGGGGTTTCGTTGAGGAGATGTTACCAAGGGCCTTCTTAGAGAGGAGGTCAAGCGGCTCATCCTCGTCTTCGATGATGTATGTGTTGCCGCCCTTTGCGCCTCCCCGCTGTTGCTTGCTCTGGCTCTTGACGAATTCGTCCTCAGAGTCGCCGTCGCTCTCCTCGCTTTCACTACCGTAGACAGCTTGGTCGTACTCGCTCTCAAACTTGCCCTTTCGCTTTTCGGTGACCTCTTCACCATCCTCTGTAGCTTGTTGCTTCTTCTTTTTGCGCTGTTCGCGTGTCTTGCGGATGTTGGTGATGAGCTTGCGGTCTTCGGCAGGTGTCGCGCGCTCGACTTCTTCTACGCCAAACTTCCGGACCATTCTTTCGACGATATGCTTGACCTTGGCTTTGAAGTGCGCCTTGTGTTCGTGACTCCAGACCATGAGGCTCTTTAATAAGGTGTTGAGACGTGGTCGTACAAGCGATTCTGGTAGCGTGATAACCTCGACCTTGACGAAGCCGAGAACACTGCGTACGATCTCGCGGTTGGGGTTCTGAAGGAAAATGTCCATGAGGTCGCAGAGGTGGGTAATGCTCTCCTTAGAGATCTGAGCGTGGAACTGGTAGAGGATGCGAGTGACGGCGGTGATGGACGCAGAGATCATGTGCGGTGTAGTAGCAGCTAGACCGGCCGACACCATGGTGAAGTACTCTTCAAGCGAAGCCTCGACAGTTGGCGCGTCGGCGGGCATGTTGGGTACCTTGGCTTGCACGACCTGGCCTCCTTCTGCCATCTTTTCACCCATAGCGACAAGCAGGTTGTAAGCTGCCTCGCGCGCCTTCTCGTTCGTTTCCTTGGCTGAGATTACTACCTCGGAGAGAATGGCGGGGATGAAATGCAGATCGCTCTGAGGAAGGGACTCAATGACTTGGAACAGCGCATTCAGTCTGTCGCGTCGCGCAGGAGCCGAAGCCTTCTCTGCGCTTCCTAGCAACAGCTGTTGCAGTTCACCGTTGCGCTCTTTCAAAGCTGCCTTGCCCTCCTCAGATTCTGCAAGACGAGGAATGAGCTTGTACGCCTTCTTCTGCAGCTGGGGCTCGTTCTCTCGGTTGATCATGATTTCGGCCATGCGGAAGAGTGAGCGGTAACTATCGCGTGGGAGGTACAGGGCGATCGTGATGATGAGATCCATCAAGGTGTGGCTCATTGGTGGCATCTTGTTGGGGCCCGTTTCTTGCTTCTGCTTAGCAGCCTGTGTCTGCGAGCCAGGCTCGGGCAAAGAAGCCTCAAGGTTAGATGCAACTCGCTCAAAGGTCTCCATAAGCTCACGCTCAGGAATGATGCTCAGGTAAGCGTTGATAGTCCGGAGAATAGTGCCACGATACTGTGGCAGAGTCTGGCTGTAGACGTTGAACAAGACTGCGAGCATGTTGCTGGCGAAACCGGCTAGATGCTCAAGGTTCTTCTTTGCGTCGGCCTTGGATATCCGGGCTTGCGCGAGTAGATCATCGTCAGACTCCAGCTCCACGATGGCCTTGTTGCTATCGACCAAGTTCTGGAGAGCCCGGCAGACGTCCGTTCGTAGATCGGCCTGACCGTAGAGTAAGTTTGCTAGCATTTCGCAAAAGCTCTGGTCGAAAGCCTCAACCAGGTCCAAAGGCAGGTCGCAATATCCGGGAAGAATTGACCAAATTTGCTGTACAACTGTCTCGAACACTTTGATCTCCATTGTCTTCTCTTTCTCGCCGTGATCAATAACCTTCTGGTACAACTCCTCACTCAACGGCACCATCTCGGTCCGGAAATG